TCTTCCCTTTGCTTTCTCACAAGAATGAAAATGGCACTTCAGAAAATATCTCAATTTTCACAACTATGTTCCACCTATTTACATTTTCAGGCTGCATGAACTTTTTAGCAGCAATGTACTTTTTAAGTTGCCTCCCTGCTGTGTAAAGTGGTATTCCCTCTATTTCCCTGAAAATAGTCTCCTTTATGCCTTAATAAGTTCACTTTAATTTTAGTTTTCTGATTTAGTTTCTGATTAAGACTATTTTAGCTATGCTCTTAGTTATTTTATGGATTCCAATTACATTCCTCCTTAATATTTGCTTTTTTCTTTTGAAAGTCTTAGTATCTTGACTATATCAGTCTATAACCTGGGTCATTTAATCCCTCTTTTTCCAGCTCTCCTTTACCCCCCATGCAGCATCTACTACAAAGGAAACCTTTGTTGACCTCAAATCCATGCTTAGGGCATGGGTGAAAAAATACCGCAAATGTCATTTTCCACACACTAATATTTCAAATAAGCAACCACTTACAACCCCACTAACCTATCAAAGTGACTTATTTCACTGTCTGCCTGCACTTAAGTAAAGTGGTGTAATCTATGCAAAATAATGACAAACACGGTCAAAGAGTAGCAGTCCTATGCATGGTGTCCCTGAACTGGTGTGTGCCGGAAGTCATTTTCCATGCACAGCAAATAGTGTGATTGATTCACCTTTATGTTTCATGTAAATTTGTTTTATTTTTGATAACAAAACATGGAGAAATGATTCTTGAAGCATCATAACAGCATTGACTGACAGCTCCCTAAGTGCTGTCTCTTTTATAGCAAACATAACTGACAGCTTGTAGATAAAGAGCATGTGTAGATGGATCGGATCTGCATTGAACACAGTGGGGGGGAAAAAAGATCTTTGCTGTATTTGTTCTTTATTAAAATTCAATTAATGTGGTAAAATATCTGCATCTTTGGAGAAGAGATATACTTGCAGGCTGAGACTGATTCAGATTTTAGTTGTTACGGAAACTTCAGTTGTTTAGTTGTTATATATAGTATCTATATAGCAATTAGATACTAAAATTACCTCTCATAAATATTTTAAAACTTCAGTGAAATTTACATTACTCATTTGCTTGCCCCTCAGATACTGTTTATTTAGTTGGGTATGTTTCAGTAATTAAATTTTGCAAGTTGTACTTTAAATTTCACTCAAATTCTCCTTTGAGCAGATTTAGTTAAAAATCTGGACATGGGCCCTCCCTGGTGGCACAGCTGTTTAAAGCACAGCACTAAGAAGCTAAAGCCACTTCAGCATGAGTTCGATTCCTGCCCCAGAGGTGATCTACATGGCAAGGCAGACTTCTCCTGACCCTCCTGCTGCTCCCCTCAGTAGTGTACTTCATTGGTGGGACTGTTCTGCTCCCCACTCTGTCTCTAGTGAAGCCTCTCACCTTCCCTGTACCTCTGGCCTGTACCCCAGTTCTGTATGCACAAATAAATAAATATATATTTTTTAAAAATCTGGACATAACAACAGCAACAACAACAACAAAAAAATCCTGCAGTGACACTTCTTAGAATATATCCCAGTAACTGAAATCAGGGACTTGGACAAACACATATACACCCATGGACAGAACACCATTATCACAATATGCAAAAATGTGGAAACAGCTCATGTCCCTTGGGGGATCGGTAAACAAAATGCGGCATATCCATGCAATCACATATTATGTAGCCTAAGGAATAAATTTCTGACACATCTACAACTTGGATGAACTTTGACAACTTTATGCGAAGTAAAATGGCCAGGCACAAAGGGACAAATTCTATTTAAGTTCCCTTGAAGGAGGCATGGAGACTAGTCTAATTCATAGACACAGAAAGCAGAATGGTGGTTGCCAGGGGCTGAGGGAGAGGAGGGGAACTGGCAGCTATTGTTTAGTGGGTTCAGTGTTTCAGTTTGGGAAGACAACTAAGTTCTGGAGAAAGACAGTGGTGATAATTATACAACAACGCAAATGCCCTTAATGATATTGAACTGCCTATTTTAAAAGGATTAAAATGGTAAATTTTGTGTTATATATTTTTTAACAAAGCTTGGTGTGTTTGTGTGTGTGTGTGTGAATTTTCTGAGGGCTATATCATTCAGTTTTTAAGCTATCTAAACAGAGTAGAAAGAGAAGAGTATGAAATGAAGAGGAGACAGGGAGACTACAATAAGAAAATGGAACATAGGAAATCAAAGTAGTGATTCTATCCATTTACACACATGTCATAACCTACCACTTCTTTCAGTAAATCATTCTTCCTATCATTGGTATCTGACCATTTTTTTTAGAAATTCAACAACAACAATAAAACAAATACTACAGTATCCTTTTGTTGTCCAAGCAAAGAACAAGAGCATGGCATACTTGTGTGCTGTTCCACTACGTCCTTCTCTATTCTCTCCCCTCTCTGGGTGGGGGGCGGGGGCGGGGGCGGGGCTTATACAGTCTGGGAGGAATTTTTTTTATCATTTTCTTTATGATTTTACTGACATAGGCATAAATCCTTAAACATCTTGCTTAGTTTTGCCTGTTTTGCGATATTTTTCCAATTTTCGTGGAAATATAATCATACAATGTAATACTACTTGACTTTCTAAGTTTCCCTTGAAACTTATCCATGTTTCTATGTGTAATTGTGTTTCATCCATTGTCTTTTTTTGGTGTGTTCATCCATTCATTTTCCTGTCAATTGGAAGGCTATGCTTGTTAGAAAAAAAAAAATTTTTAAAGATTTATTTATTTGTGCATACAGAACTGGGGTACAGGCCAGAGGCTCAGGGGCAGTGAGAGGCTTCACCATAGACAGAGTGGGGAACAGAACCGGCAGATTTACGAAGTACACTGCTGAGGGGAGCAGCGGACGAGTCAGGAGAGGTCTGCCACACCATGTGGTCACCTCCAGGGCAGGCGGGAATCAAGCTCATGCAGAAGCGGCCTTAGATTTCTCAATGTTATGCTTAAACCTGCTGCGCCACCAGGGAGGGCCCAGAAAAAAAATTTTGATGCTGTGAATATTCTTATATGTATCTCCCAGTATTCTGCGCCAGAATTTCTAGGAATGTAATTGATGAGGTGTAGGGTGTGTGCATCTTACCTTTCAGTTGTTGATTAGTTTATGAACTTCATAAAGGCTATAGCTATCTATACTCCCACTAGTGTTTACAGTTCCCACTATTTCATCTCTCAGCAACACTTGGTGTTTTTAGTTCAACAGTTTGATTCTTGTAATGTTTATCTTTCAGGCTGACATAAGAAGCAAATTTCACATTAGACATAATCCATCATGCTGGACTTTGGGGATTTTATGAACTGACATAGCAGATGCTCAGAAGATTAGAGAAAAATTAAGGGAATCTAAGTCTTAGCTGTTTGGTAAAATTACAGACCTTTGCATAATTCAAATGTTAGCACATTCCTGATTACAGTTTTTCCTTTTGTTTTAAAATTATGTACCCAGTGTCAATCCTTATTGGAGTATTTGTCCCCAAATTCAAAGGCTACACAGGAAATGTAAGGTAGAACTCCAAGTATTGCCCCAGAGGTGAATACTCCAAGTACTACCCCAAATGAATTACATTTGCTTTACTGTACCAAAAGATCTTGACATAAATTTTAGAAGGAAAAAGAAAGAACACCACTATTTCTAGCCTTAATTTAAGAACTTTCTTAGTTCTTATATTGTACCAAGCTATTATTTTTTTTTAAATGGTTAAATAACTCTTTCACACGCTTATTTATTTTCTACTTCGCTAAATTTCCACAATTAGATGTTTACATTTTCTCTGTAAAGAATGTGCAGGTATTTCTGTTTAAAGTCATCCATTTTAGTGAGCTACAGAGTCTTAGTTCCCAAATGCTAGTAGTCAGACCTCTTCCAACTTCTTTTATTGTTTCCTCGGCCAATTTCTAATGAAAGTGTCACTAGCCTAAATGGTATTAACTAAAAGAACAACAATGAGCTTTCATATAACTCAATGCATTTCATCTAAAGAGCACTCCATTTCTACTTTTTTAGTGTTAAAATGTTCTGTTTTAGAAATGATGGTTGGTACTCATTTGCTTGACAATTTTTCAGATTTTATTTGTGTATGCTTGCGTTTTAATTTTACAGATTCTTCAAATCTAAGTATTTGAAAGATCTTTCAGAACGTCTTACTATGTCATTTAGAATGTATATTTGTAGAGTACCCTGGGAGATACTGCCAGAATACAAGCCTCCGAAGGAAAGCGATACTCGACTCAATTCAGCAACTATGCATTTAGTTCTGTTTGTGTTTCAATAAGACTTAGCCCTAATAACACAGGAGGAGACCTGCAAAGATAAGCATAACAGTTCATGGCCCTTGCCAGTTTACTGTTTAGCCTATGCATAATACAGTTAAACAATGTGAGAAAACCCCATCAAGGTGTTAAGGAACCTGGAGTGGTTTGGTAGTTGCTGGAAGGAGGTGGAGGCCCTGGGTCCTGAAAAAAAGTGTGAAAAAGGTAGAAAGGAGGGAAACCCATCTTAAGGAGGCAGGCAGATGGGAACCAAGGCTTTAAGTCCACTCTTGCATGAATGATCAAATAGAGGAGCAGCAATGTGGGAGTGCAGAGGCACAAAAGCAAGGGAGATGTGGATGGGTAGTGCAGGTTTCCAGGTCAGGCACAGCTGGCTAAAGGTACAAGTAGTATGCATGGGAAGGAAGCTGATTACAAAGCCAAGTCAGTGTCATTGACGCCTGCAAAGCAACTCTACGCACAAAAGGCAAAAAAGTTAAGAGGCCAAAAGATCCAGTAGCACTCCTGCTCTCCATCAACGGTGCTAGGGGATGGAGTCGGGCACACCCTATGGGCTCCCGCCCCCCTAATCAGCAAGAGCTGCCTCAGATTGCAGGACACGCCTTCTCTATCCAACGCTCGCAAGCACCTCCCCGTAATTTTGGTCATCAGCGCCTGCGCGGTACTCAGGCTCCGCCCCTTTGTCCTCCTACCCAGGTCTCCCGCGGCCAACATGGCGGCCCCCTGTGTGTACTGTGGTTTTGCAGTTTCGTACCGGCTCTTTCTCGGGGGTACGGCTGCCCTGGCTCAGAGACAGGGCATCTGGAAAGCTGGGGCTGCTGAACTGCAGTCGGCTATCAGATACCAGGTAAGGCTTGGGAGAAGTGGGAGCTCTGGTCCTTGTAGCGTCAGAACGTGGTGCCTCCGCCGCCGCTCCCTTTGCCTGGCGTCTTGCGATCGCTCACACAGTGACCCCAGGGTCTTAGGTATTTAATAGAGGTCCGAGGCTGATAGAGGAGAGGCTATTGGCTTGCAACAGCCACTCTTGAAATCGTGTCTGCGTCTTGCCAGTGCAGGAAAAGAAGTTACGGGCCGACGTAATTAGAGCCACCCATCCCTTGACTGCCAAGTTCAGGGGTGTCTGCCTAGGTGTGACTTAGGTCTCTCCCTCCTGCGCGCTGCGCGGGGCCGAGTGGACGGCAACGTGAGAAGACGCGAATGAGAACTGGACTGGAATGCTTAATGGAGAGTCTGGAAGTCACACTTGTGCAGTTACAAGTGTGCCTGGCCTGAAGTTTTTTAACTTAAAAACTTTGTTTCTGGAGCAGTGGAGACCAGAACTTACACATTTCTTCGACCCCGAAGCAGAGAGAGCACAGTTACAAATCTAACGATTCTGGCTTCATAATGGGTTGGCCGATGATACCATCAATTGATATCCGATTCAAGAAGGTACAAGAGTTGAGAGGGGAAAAAATGAGATTAGTTTGGGTTATGATTGTCCCACAGGCTTCTTGTAGGATGGCCAAGAGGGGAGTTCCAATCGGCCCAAAGCAAATCAATAACTTAAGAATAGAACTGATTTACAAGGCTTCCGTTATCTTGTAGGTGGTAATTGAGGCCTTGGAAATGAATTCGATCACCTGGGAGGGTATACTCAAAGAGGAATTTGCAGAGAGGCTAGAAAATGGCCCCGAAGGGCAGTCAAGAAAGAAGGGCCCTCAAGAAATTGAAAAGGAACTTTTAAGACAAGTAAGAGAAAAATCAGATATTGTGATATCTTGGAAAACAGGAGAATGTTTCAAAGAAAGTGATAAACAGTACCAGATATGGTAAGGTAGTCCATTATTATAACTCAGACACTATTTAAAAAAAAACAACTTTTCTTCTGTGTTTTACGATAGGTGTACAAATTCATTAGTTATCAAACATGTTTTTATTAATTTTTATAGGCAAATATGCAAGAAGTTTTTTACTTTTTTTCCCCCATGGAGCTCAAGTATTTCTGTCTTTTTTACATATAACTTTCTAATAATGGGACGATAGCATACAGAATAGTTTTATTTTTAACTCTGTGTGTGTGTGTGTTGGTGGTGAGTTGTTGCACTTCTGAATTTGGAAGCCTGTGTATTCTAAGTTTTTCTCTCTCTTTAGTCATATACAACGCCTTTTCTGTACTAAGGTGGTATTTGATTTTTTAATCTGTTACAAATGAAAATGAGATTGTTATAATAAGTTATGGTGACCACAAAGGTTACCCATGATTTTAATTTCTTATCATCATATTTATATAGGAATGCTAATTTAAATTTCAATAATATCTATAAATTAGTACAATTATAAGATTTTGTAAAGATTCATTAATTTTGTTTGTAGTGTCTCGTACTCGTATTTTCTCCATTCCTTTTTTTTGATCCATTGCTTTTTAAAAATTTTTGTCAGGCATGGTTATAACTCATACCTTAAACCCTTCCTGGCACTGAATCTATATTTCCGCTGTATTGAAACCTCTCTTAGGGTATTTTTGCTCCAGTATTTGTGGTATATTTTTCTATGTGTTTAATTTTCAGTTTTTATGGGTTGGGTTAAAGAGCTTCCTTTTCTTGTTTGATAAATCGGCCTATTACCATGCTTGTTGGGTAGCTGGGTATAATCCTAACTTTTTTCCTTTTACCCAGGATCCTTTGGTGCCTAATGTTTCATAGACAGAAGCCTCTACACCTATTTGGATGACCTTCTGTGAGAGGTAGTAGGCACCAAGACAGCAAGGCACCAGAAGGTTGCCACCAAGAATTAGCTCTTTCTTAAGTGGTGGGAATCCACAGTGTCCCTCTTCCCTTGGCCAACTACACAGCCAAAAATCCAGAACAATTTTGTGCCAGCCTCAACCTCTAACCTCTGGTTGAGTAGTAATAATAGCTCCAGGAGTCAGGGATATCAACCAGATTTTATTTTCTTTCTTTTAGTATATAGAGTTTTATCCTAGGGCACTTGCCCCTGTTGTTTTATCTGCTTTGGCCCTGGGTGAGATTGAAGCATATGTTTTGTGTAACACAGCCTCAGGCTGCAGATAATAGCATTTTCTGTAAGTCGATCCAGGGAATCTGACATGGCTTCTGTCTCCATCCATTCGGGAGCCACACATAGACTGAAGCTGACTGTCATCACTTCATCCAGACCATACTCAGCAGTCACTGAGACCATCCACTGACCTTACACTCTGTAGTGTAAGGTGCACAGTCACTCCCTGGCTCAGGGTGTTTTGCTGCTGTCCAACAATTTTGCTTTTGTAGGTGTCTCTGTCATTCTGGCATTCCACCACAGGTCTCTGCACCCCTGCTCCTATAGTCCTCTTGTGCCTCCTCTATCCTGTACCCTTAGCGAGTTCCCTTCTCCTAGATCATTGCCAGGACCTAGGTGTCTCCTGTGCTTATAGACCCTCAGTCAGCGATAGCAAAGAAGCTCTGTATAGCAACTGCCTTCTACTGTGTGACTGTCATTACAACACAGTTAAACTATAGTCTTTCCTATGCCTTTCTGCAGTGCCATCCTTCTTTATCGATATAGTAGTCATTCATTATTCAGTCTTTGTTTATGTTTAATTTGGTTGTAAATATGTGGAGGAGACAAACCTGGTAACCTGATATCTTCACTTTTCCATCATCTTGCTGGACTCATCCTGCACTGCATCATTATTTGTAACTTTTATAATAAGAAAAAATAACGGAAAAGTATATATTTTGAAAAATACACATAATAATATCTGTCCTCTTAATTTTATTTTCTACAAAGCACTTTCTGAGTACTTAAAACTTTCCAGTTACTGGGCCAATATGTTATTGTTGAATTGGACTGTCTGCCACAGAAGAATGGTCAGTGACATTTGGCTTAATACTGGTATATTTTTATTTCACTGTAAAAAAAATGTCTTCAGTATCTATTCTTTTCCTCTCTCATCTGATGGGCTCTCAGAGGTTACTTACAACAGGAGGCTCTTAATAAACCTCATGATAAATTGCTAAAAAGTATTCTTTGAACTACAAATTTAAAAATTGACTTCCATTTGTATCAGGTCCTTTATAACACTCATAAATTAGTTATGTTTTCCCCCGTGTAATTTTTGAATTTTTTTAAAAAGCCAGTTTATTAGCAATGAAAAGAAATCCTTTTGGAGGGGTTATTTTTTTCCCCCATTGAGATCTCATCCTGGCCTTTAATGATAAGTCAAGTGAGTTCCTCATTGTTTTAATTACGGAAATATTGTGACATTAAAATTTGTATTTCCCTTAGGTAGCAGCTTACAAATTTTTGATTTAAAGAAAGCTTAACTTGATAACAGATGTTACCATTATTCCCACCTTTTTCTTATAAAACAAGTAAACATTCTGGTTCTATGCTTCAGTATTGTAATTTGGATGATGAATTAGTTATTTATTGCTGAAAATCGTTCTAAATAAATTATCCTAAAACTTAACCAACTTAACCAACTTAAAGCAACAGACAGTTGTGGTCACTTAGTTTCCAAGCATGGTTTAGCTAAGTCTTCTCAGGGTTAACCATGAGCCAGCACTACAGGTGTTGATGATGGCTATAGTTATATAATGTGGGGGGAGGAGCAGTGGAGGTCTACTTTCCAGCTCACTCATTGTGGGTATTAGCAAGAATCCTATCCTTGCCAATGGCCATCTTCCATTCTTAACACTTGGGTCTTTCTAGGGCACATCACTGCATCTGGTTTCTTTCTACCAGATTGATCAGAAGAGGGTGAAAAGGGGCAGAGTATCACTGTAACCTAATCTCAGAAGTCACATTCTGTGACTTAAGTATTCTTTCCATCATAAACAAGGCACTAGGTTTGACCTGAATTGCAGAGTTACTTAAATACCAGGTGGCAGAATCATTGGGAGCCATCTTGGCAGCTGTCTACAACTGTGAAAGACCTACATGCATTTCTTTCTGAGTAGCTCATGTTTTCATGTCTTTCTTCTGAATTTGGCTTGTAGACCTCTTGAGAAAAATAACATAACCTTTACATACCTGCTGTGATACCTGGAATAGTACTACAGATACCTCCCAGTTGCTCATTGATTCTTTTTTGAATAAGTGTGAAATTCTTTTGTTCAGGGGTATGTGGGCGTTTGCATGTGTGTGTCCATTTGCATCTGTGGAATACCTGCTGCATTCCTTTATGCTCTATGGGCTTAGTAGCTGAAAAGAAAGCTGTATCTTTACCATATTTTGTGCTTCCTTACTCAGGATAGCAACAGTCTTATTTTCCTATCACTTGATTTTGTTTCACAATATGTCTGTTGAAACTTAGTACATAGGCCCATAGTAGTTGCTCAAATGTGTTAAATGAACTTCTAAAGTGAATTACTTTTTAAAACTTTAATATGAAAAATAAAGTATGTTCAAGTATATATAAAAGTAAAATATATATGTGTATATACCACCCAACTCCCCAATTAACATTTTCTGGAAGCTTTACATGAAAATCTGACTTCCTGTTCTTTTACTTATACTTGAATATGCATCTCTAACAAAGTTTTTAAAAATCACACTTCCATTTCAGTTGTACATTTAACATAATAAACAGTAATTTCTTATTTTCCATCCCATGTTCAAATTCCTGTGATTGTCCAACAAACACTTTTTATGGTTGACTTACTTTACTCTGGATTTGCATGAGGTCTGTATGTATATTTTTTGTTTGTATGCATGTTAAATCTCATGATTTATAACAGTTTATGGAGTAAATATAGTGAGTTTTACTAAGTAGTGGTATAGTAAACTTTCTTGTTTAATCTAGCATCCAATTCCCCTTTGTAACAGCACCCCAGTTTTCTCAGGAGGGGTGGGTTCTTCTCCACTGAATGCAGTTTGGATGACAGTCCGGGGCACGTGACCCTGGGTAGCTCCATATCCCTCCCCCCTAAGAGTTTCACTTATCAGTATTTTTAATATGTTGAATACAACTTTAAAACTGTTTTCTAAGTTCATGTTTTAGATACATTGGCTGACAAGATCATTGTTTAATTTAAAATCTTTTCTTCCTGTTTATTTTTTTTAACTAGGTATTAAGGCAAAGACACACAACTGTAACAAAGAAAAATGTTGCAGCCTCAAGAAATAAAACTTACACAGTGGATTTTATTAAAAAGCAGATTGAAGAGTTCAACTTAGGAAAGAGACATTTAGCCAACATGATGGGAGAAGATCCAGAAACTTTTACCCAAGAAGATATTGATGTAAGTACAGTTACTCTTTTGGAAAAGAAATTGCTATCTAATTTTAGGTATTGAAAGCACTTTTCTTTATCTGTGGCCTTTAGCTCTGTGTAAATTTTAATCAAACTGTCAGAAAAAGGAAAAATGTCACTGTACATTATAAGTTGGAACCATGGTTTCAAATAGAGAAGCTCCTTTGTATTTGAAGCATTGTAAATAGAGTGAATTTTTGATCTTAGCTAAAAATAGATTCTTTCTTTGATTCAGTGCCATAGGACCACTGCAGGTACACATGATTTGGAAACTTTTACCCTCTTGTTTAGTCTTGAACTTGGCTTTCCTATAAAATGATAAATGATAGAAGAATACAGTCATGTTTCTAGGAAATTCCATTAGTAAACCTAAGTCCAGTTTTTCGTTTTTGTTTTTTTTTTTACATCATTCTTCATTTTTGTATAGTGTGTGTTTTCTCATCTTAGTTACAGTGGCGGTGTAGTTCCCACCACTGGTTCACCCATGTGCCATCACCGTAGTCCTTTGTGCTCTTCCCACCCTTGCTTTGATCCTGTGCCCTTCTCCCCACCTGCAGAATGTCTCTGGTTTATGGTTGCCTGTTGATTGTGATTTTTACTTTATTAGAAATACTGTTTTTCTTTTTTCCCCCTGATCCTTTATTTGGATCCTCCACATCCCTCCCAAAAAGTGAAACCAGCTGGTATTTTTCTTTTTCTTTCTGGCGTATTTCAGAGCATGAACCCTTCCAGCTCCATCCATGTGGCTACCAGTGCATGCTTTTGTCTTTTTTGGTTGCTGAGCAATAGTCCATTGTGTACATGTACCACATCTTATATGCAGTCATCTTATTTTAGGCATTTGTGTTGTTTCCATAGCTTACCTATTGTAAATAGTGCTGCAGTAAATGCAGGGGTGCAGGTGTCCTTCTGAATTAATGTTTTTTGTGTCTTTTGGGTAAATAGTAGATACTTAGGAGTGGAATTCCTGGATCCTATGGAAACTCATTTTTACCAGTTTGAGGGCCCTCCAAACAGCTTTCCATAGTGTTTGGACTAGTTTGCTTTCCCACCAGCAATGTAATATTTTTATCAATTTTACTATATATTTCAATTTTCAGGATTCATGCTCTAAGTAATTTGAGAATTAGGGGTAGAACTGTATTCCTCTTTCACTCTTGAATTTTGTAATTCTGGTAAAAATAGAAATAATAAAACTTTTTCCTGTTCATCCCAGGATAATTAGCAAGGGAAGTTAAATTTAACATCTATGCAGATTCCTCTAATTTTTTTTAAAAGTAGGATATAACATCCTATGATGTATTATACTTAACTGAATAACATCTTTTATAGATTTAACATATTATTTAAAATACATTATGAGTCTGCATTTTAGTTTAATTCCCATCTTTTTAAATATCTTTCCTAATGTTATTTCCTGGAAATAACATCTTTTGCTATTTCCTCTTCCTTCCTATCTCTCTCCCTCCTTTCCTTCCTTATTTTTTCTTTAATAGCTGCTTTTTTGAAGTGTAATTGATATACCAGGTAAAGTTCTTTGATCTTTAGTCTGTTCACAGTTTTGTAACGATCACCACAATCTAATTTTAGGAGTTTCATCATTCTGTAAAGAGACTTCATACACTATCAACTCATAACGAGATTACTTACACTTAAAATACTTTTCTGATTTTATGTAATTATTTTGTCTTCAGAAATAACTAAGCTTTCATCAGCATAGAAATGCTAAAAAAGGCTCATCAACTATACTATGTCTCTTACTTTATATACATAGCCAAATCTCTAACAAAATAAGTTTCGAAAACAAGAATCATAATGGCTTATAATTTTAATGCTTTGGTGGTGGTTGTTATTATCTTCCTTTTCTTTTATATCTACTTAGATGCCAAAGGGAGTTCACTAAAGTTAATCATATACCAAAATCTTTAATAAATATAGAATGTGAAACTTAGTGAAACAGATTTATCACTTGCAGAATCAAGTTAGAGTCAAGAAAATGGTTACTACCTACTTCCATATGGATTTTTTTAGTGAGACAGATAAGACAAAATACCAACTTAAAATACACAAGGCCAATTTCTGGTTTGAAGTCACCCAATGGTGTATCAAACACTCAAGTATTTCAGATTATTCTCCCCCAAAACTCAGTCTCAGGTGGCATGGAAGATTTATGTGACAAAGACAATAAGAGAATTAATGAGTGATTGAAATTATGTTAGGTTTTATTTACTACAATTAATAGTAATGAAAACAATAACAGATTGTTTTATTCTCATGCTCCTTATTTATATTCTGAGGTAGGCAGCAGGTATTATTTCAGAGAAAATCATGTAAAGTTTTGTGACTTGCTAAATGTTACCAGTGACAGCAAGAAAATCTATTCTTCAACAGATAAAATGAATTTCTTTAAAACATATCAATTTATCAAGGTTCTATATGTTTCTATATATGTATATATTTATATTCCTCATAAAACAAGAAATTCAACTTTAGAAAATTGTACATAATTTTAAACAGCAATTGGATAAACTAAAGGCATTTCTGGGGGGAGAAAGGGGAGAAAAATGAGTCAAAACAGGGGTAGGAAGAACACAATGGACTACCGTGATAGTATATGGGTGAATTGGCGGTAGGAATTTCTTGGCGACCATACATGAGATGTTAAAGCATACATTGTATGAAAATAAAGAATGATGTAAAAATATATAAAATTGAAAGTAAATAAAAAAGCAACTGGAATGTTTCATATTAATTCATGACTTCATTTTTACTGTTTAGATCTAAGGGAGATTTTTATTATATTCTGTTAGCACAACAACAAAATATTATCAGCTTACTCTCACCATAACATACCCACATGCAGTTTTAAAAGTAGAGAAATATTGTCACCTTTCACGTTTGCCTGGTCATTTTAAACATCTCTCTCTGGAAAACAATTCTATACTTAAGAAACAGAGCCTACGCATATTGTTTCTGCCTGGCTGACTGACAGGATCCTTTTAGATGTCTCTAAGTAATATAAAAAGGATACTCTAAATTGAAACACCAATGTGTGACTATTTTAAACACCTTATCAAAAAAAATTTAATTCATGATTGTTATATATTTAAAAAACTTAGTGCCTTTTTTAATAAAATTAAGTACAATAGTTTCCCATATTATTATGATCAGGAAATTAGTCCACAATAGCAAGTTTTCCAGATAAAAGAACCCTATTTTTTAATTTTTATTTAGTAGATTTCTACCTACTAGATACCTCCTGTTAGTGTGCAAGATGCTTTCTAGTGCATTATGATCTATACATTAGCACACTTAGTCATTATCAAAATACTTGTGAGTGAATACTTACTGTTGAGGAACCAAAGCTCTGCAGTATACAGGCCTTTGTGTATCTAGTCCTTTTCCCCCTACACTTTCAAAGCTTAATATTTCAAAGTTTAATATTTGCATTTTCTAAAATAAATTATAGTTCCACAACCTTACTAGATTATAGTGAGTATAATTTAACCTTACAGTGCCCCCGGCTTTACTTTTTAGTATGGCTGTGAAATTAAGGCTTAGGCTGTGACTCAAGAAGTAGGTACCAAATGGCCTGCCTGTGCTTTAGTACTGATTCCTGCCATCTCCTTTCCTGTCAAGTTGTCTGTGTCTGTGCCTGTGCCTCTAGCTTCTCTTTGTGCCTTCCAGCCTTATGGCATAACTAGCTTGTTAGGCATGTAAATTAAAACTAACCACCTCTAGATTGGGCATGTGGACCTACATATTCTTTCTACAAAGTAACATCATGAATTTGTGTCAGCTTATTCTGACTCTACCTCGGCCTTTTCTTTATTGATTTTTAGATTTACAACTTAATTCAGAAGGTTGAATTTGAATAGATACCCAATCTTTTGCCCTACTCTGTATAGCATATGTAATTTATGTAGGGAAATTACACTTATCGAAACTTCTGTGCTAGTTTTTCCTTAATTTCATAAAGCTTTTCAAAGGAGTACAGATATGGATCGGTGAAATTTTTTTTTTAAATTTATAAAATTTTATGAATAGAAATATTGTCACTTTTAATGAAGATTGTTATTAAAGCTATGGCTTTGCATATTTGGTGGAATTTTAATTTGCAAAATCACTTTGCTATATTTGATGGTCAACTCTACTAAATTTATCGATACATAAAAATTTTTAATTTGTGAATTAGCTGAATTTACATGGGTATCAATATAGGGTTTTTTTCTTTTTGAATAAATTAATCCTTTTCTAATTAATCCTGCTCTAATTTCTTATGTTACATAAAAAAAGAAACCACCTGTTTTCCCTACTGAGCCACTGTGGTACTACTGATAATTGTAAGAACTCATAGAAGGAAGAACAGTTCTCTTCTAGAATCAGTAGTGTACTCAGTGTCTTGTTGGCAAGTTCTTAAAAATGTGCTAAATATTCTGAAATGTTTTAATATTGTGGTTCTTGACTCCTATTCATAAACCTTCACAGGCCACTGACAAATGTTGACTAGTGAGTAAAAAGTATTTTTGGCTGTAACAGCATAAGGTACTGAGAGGAAGAATCTGTCAGATGGACATTGAGTTGAGTGAGGTTTATAGATCAGTGTAAAGTACTGACAGGTTGGTCAAGAGAAGACTCTACAGATATGAGACTGTAAGAACAACCCCTATACTGTTTCAACAGAGGCAGAGCAAACCCAAGGCTAAAGGCTTCAATTCCTGCCTATAGACCTGTAACACACTGTTATGCTAAAGCAGACACTAACATTACTGCTAATCAGTTTGCTGTTGTTGAGTTTTTTTAATCCTTTCACATGGACAGTCAAAATTCTTTTTCTCAACATCATGCTGTAGACACCAAAAAATGGGAGACTACTGACATTTGCATTTTCCTTTTTTAATAGGCAGTATCAGTTATAAATTTTAAGTGGAAGACACTTCAGTTATATTAAATATTATGAATATAGACTCACACTTGCATTTACTAATG